AACCTTTGAGCAAAAACTCACATAGTATAGCATTTTGACAGTACCTGTATATAAGCAATTACTGGGAAAGGATGTTGAAAATCACTCATTATTTTCAAACATTTTGGGACTAATATTTACTCTGAACTGTCAGGATACCTTGGTTAAAAAAATCAATATGCTAAAACTGAAACTTTGTTTTCCTTTATACTATAAAGTAAAAATAGCATGTATGCTATGCTCTAAATCAAGACAATAGATTACAATTTCTGCCAAGTGTTTTTTAACATCTTTCAAAAAACAAAAAAATTACCACAATAATAATGTAAGGCAAGTTCATGGAAAACTTATTGTCTTCATTTTACACTTTAGCAAATTCAGGCTAAACCAACAGAAAGCTTACCAGAATTAGGGATCAGGTTTTTCCAACTTCATACAATATAGTATTTCATAGACTGAGACTGAAATACAGCATATGAAGTTGAGAAAAATTCAATTTAGAACAAAGGTAAATTTGGGAATAATAACAAATGTATTTGAACTGTGGGTAAAAAAGAAACTTTCCTCTTGCATTGAGGATAAACTGGGAAAAATAAAATTTAGATCCGTCACATAATAAATGCCCATTTGGATATTAGAAGAGGATTCCTCATGCCGTGTCATTTATAAAATGGACTCTCCACTGCTTTCATTTTAAAATGCATTCTAATTATTCAACTACAGCCTAAGGAAAATATCTATTAGTTATCTAATATGAAAACATACTCAAGTATGCAATATTCTGACAGCAGAATATTGCAGGATTCTTTTTGCAGATTTTTGCTTTATGTTTTATTTCAGGCCGTATGAAAATCAGCTTACATTTCAAGGTATCTCCAACGTCTGAGTACATTAAAATTACTTTCAGTACTGTGAATTACTAACACAATTTATTTGTACTAGATTAAGTTTAACACAAATAGAATATTATGAAACCGCACACATCTACATACATAGTTTGTTGTGTACTACCTGGGTCATTTTATCAAAATCTGTCAGACATGTGTGAGAAAGCTGATTTCACTATGAAGTCTGGTGATGTCGTTCATAAGGGCTACAAGAGTATGGGACTCTTTCCTGCAAGGAATTGTCAGACCTGCTTCTGTTTTGAAACTCACTTAACTGAAAATCAGTGGCTAAAACTGTATGACGTGATCCTGTCTTTACAGCGAAGTCTGAAGCTTGCCCTGAACTCATCCACACTTGCAGCTCTAGACAGGAAACACAAGCGAGTTCTGCAAAGGAGAATGTGGTCACAGGATAGTCCGTGTCTGTGCGCAAAAGTGTAAAACGTGCTCTCCTTCTGTGCCCCTGGTTGGTTTGCGATCAAACAATTTGGGGAAAATAGTAGATTTAGAAATTGGAGAATATGACTAGTCCTGGAATTAACAGCGTTGAGTACATATTTTAAATCACGTCCAGATTACATATAAATAAAGTTGATTTTTTTAAGGTGGGTCATTACTCCCAGTGCTGATCAGTCATCTTTAGAGGAGAAAAAGAACAAATGATGCTAGGCGTTCAGGTTTGAGAAAATCTACTTTCGCTCTTAAAACACACACACACACACACACACACACACACAGACGAAAGGTGACAGGCAGGGCCTCAGGGCCCAGAGCAAGGAGCGCTGGCGGCTTGGTGGTAGGCGCCTTGGGGATCTTCTCAATCTCCAGAAATTCTCCAGTTAACACCTAAGCCGCGCATATTTGTTGGGTAGCAAGGTATCACCCGTAAGAGACTGGGATAGAGCCTTCTCTTCTTTGGGCCCTAGATTCCCAACTCCAGATTCTTCCAAGTTCCTTCCGCTTCGGTGCGTGCAGATCGCCGACCCCCCGAAGTTCCATGGCTTCTACACGTGGATCCCCGCAGCTTTGGGAGCTTGAGGCTCGCTTGGTCCCCCATCTTTGCCTCCCCGCATCTCCATGCTGTGGAGCAAATGCAATCTCTTCTGCACTAGTGCCAGTAGGTGCGTGTATGCGTGGCATTGACCGAGACCGGACCACCGAAACCCCGTGACACCCTGAAAAGAGGCTCCGGGGGATGCGAGCATCTTTAGTCCTAAGGCTCGGCCGTGGTAGTGCTCTAACGCCACTCCAGCTAACCGGGAGGAAAATCTAGGGCGCGGCCCAGTGGCCTCTCCCGCCTAGCCACGCGTGGTGAGATTTCCGGCGCTCTGTTCAGCTAAGACACCGGATTTGCACGGCAGCCTCTCGGCTCCCGGAGTCGGAGCCCAGAGCTCCCGGCGGCCGTCTCCAATTTCGCCGCTAAGTGCGAAGGAAATAGCGCCGTTTGCGGGGCTAGGGTGAGGCCAAAGGATCTGGGAGCTGCGCCCGGCCGGGGAGGACTCGGCGGGGCCCGGGAGCTCTCCAGCGAGTCCCCGGCGGCGACTGCTCTGCGAGGGGGTTAACGGCAGCTCCCGGAGCGGACGGGCGCGGGCGCTTCCTCTCCTCCCGCCCGGGAACATGGATACGGCGCCGTCAGGATGTTCGCCGGCTGGGCTGGGCAGCCAGGAAACATGAGAAGGCCTGGCTATCCCTGTTCCCGGGCCCCGCACGCCCGTCTGGGTAAATAAAGCCGAGCCGCCGGCGGTGGCGACGGGGAGCGCGCAGGAGCCCGCGCGGAGAACATGCGGCGGGGATGGGAGTGCGCCTAGCCTCGGGGCGGGACAGCCAGCCGCCCAGCCGCCCGCCGCGGGCCCCGCCGCCACAGGTACGGCCCCCGCGTCGCCGCGGCCTCGGGGAGGGGTCCGCGAGACTCGCTCTGGCATTCTGAGCGGCTTGCTTCCTCTGCCCAGTAGAGGCTTGCTTCCTCTGCTCCCCCTGGCTCTTCCTTCCCGCCCCCCACCTTTTCCCGAGGTCCAGTAGGGAGACGATCGATTCTTTGGCGTCCAAGGCTGGCCCGGGGCGGGGAGGGGGAAAGGGGGGAGTCTACGAAGAGGCTAGGGCCGGTCCTTTGCTTTACAATTACTCATAGGCGTTGGGCGGGACGCGGAGTAGGCTCCTTGGCGCAGTTTGGAGTGAATCGGGGTAAGTCAGGGCGCACTAAAGTGAGAATAGACGCACTGGGGACCCCTCGAGGGAGTCCAGACTGGACGAAGGAACCGCGGATGACAGGGTCCCCAGCGTGCTGCAACGATCCCAAACTCTTGGACCCTTGCCACCTCCGGTCCCCGCGCTGGCCATCCCGGGAGTGTCCCCTCCATCCGTGTAGGAGAGATCCGAGATGGCAAACCTCGCGTGACCGCGCTAGGTAAAGGATCCCAGGTCACGCAGCAGGTCGGGGCTGGGACTAGGAGAAGGAGGTCTTATACAAGTAGAGCAAGCGCGAATGCAAATCACCGAGCGCTCTGATTTCAAAAGAAAACAAGACTATTCCACTGGGGCAGCAGGCGCGGACATTTGCTTTGACACTTATCCACGTGGCTGTGGGCACACTCCGGGCACCTACCTGTCTCTGCGCGGGAGCATTCGGTCCTAGGCAGAGGTCTGAGTTTTACCATCCATTCGACTTGGGACGTCGTTTAGTCGCTGTGGCCACGACCCTAAAGGTCGCGCGTGGTCCCTGCTGCGGTGGCCGGAGGGCGTGGCCGGGGGCGTTGGCATTCGGCGGGGTGTGTGTGTGTGTGTGTGTGTGTGTGTGTGTGTGTGTGTGTGTGTGTAAGGAGGCGGTAGCCACCTGGCAAGACTGGGAGAGGAAAAACGAGCTGCCGGGTGTTTAGTAGGGAGATGGGGAGGGCTACCAGGCAGGTGCTCCACGGCCGCGCTGGGGCAGGTTCCTGACGTCCGCACGTGGCGCACGGACGACCGCGTTTGTCGCCACTCTGGGGAAAACTGCCGGCGTTTCCAACCTGAGCAGCTGCAGTCTGCAGAGTGTGGACAGCACTGCCTCCTGCCTTAGACTTCCCATACCTTTATAAACCCTGAAATGGAACTTGAGATCGGGGCTTGCACCCGCACTGCAGAAGAGCATAACACTGCTGACACTAATCCCTGGGAACCTGGGGGCGGGGAGGGCGGGGAAGACCCCTTTGGACCTGCCAGGACTCTGAGAGCTCGGAAGGGGGCTGGAAGTAGACAGGATGATTGGTACAGGAATGAAGTGCATTGTACCTGTCGGCCAGTTAACTCCAGTTACCTAGTCCATTCCTAATTTTCCTTGCCCTTGCCCTAACTCGGACGCATTTGCCCCGAAAGACTCGGGAGGTCTCAGGCAAATCATCCAGGTCTGAGAAGAAGAGGACGAAGAGGAGGAGGAGGAGGAGGAGGAGGAGGA